ATTGCTTTTTCCAGTGTAAAAATGGAAAAATGCCAACTTCCATCAGTAGAGGAATGGTTACATAATGGAGGTACAGCCCAACTAAAGAATATTATTTAATGGTTAAAAAAATTGGATGGTTCTCTAAGTAGTATGTGATAGAGCTGCAAGATGTGTTGAAGGAAAGAAGCACATTGCAGAACACTATGCATGATGTGATACTGTTTATGGGAAAACCAAGGAAAAAAGACTATTTCTCACTGATCCCTATATTAATATATGAATAAATGTAAAGTAAAAGATCTGGAAGGACAAACACAAAAACAACACCAGTGTGTTTATATTTAAGGAGTGGAGGACGAGGACTGGAATTGGGCATGATGCAATAACTTAATCTAAAGGGAGCTTTACCCTGGTCTGCAATTTGAAATTTTATTCAAAAGATAACTGCCAGGCCAGGCGCGGTGGCTCACGCTTGTAATCCTAGCACTCTGGGAGGCCGAGGCGGGCGGATTGCTCAAGGTCAGGAGTTCAAAACCAGCCTGAGCGAGACCCCGTCGACACCCTGTCTCTACTAGAAAATAGAAAGAAATTAGCCAAACAACTAAAAATGGAAAAAATTTAGCCAGGCATGGTGGCACATGCCTGTAGTCCCAGCTACTCTGGAGGCTGAGGCAGGTAGGATTGCTTGAGCCCAGGAGTTTGAGGTTGCTGTGAGCTAGGCTGACGCCACGGCACTCACTCTAGCCTAGGCAAGAAAGCAAGACTTTGTCTCAAAAAAAAAAAAGATAACTGCCAGATGATTGCAGTCGCTAAAAAGAAAAGAAAAGAAAAAAAAAGATATCCAAGCATTACCTCTAGAATTCAAAATTAATCTAAAAAAATTAAGCTAAAACAAGATCCATGGGCTGGGTGCAATTGGGGTGTCTGAGCAATCACTGTCCCTATGCCTCCCCGGCTTCCATAGCCTTCTGGGGGTGCCTCCTTCTCTCCACCTGCACACACAGGAAACCTGGCTGTAATCCCAACTGAAGCGTTTCCTAAACAGCATTAAGAAAGAACAGTTTTGCAAGCAGTGGCAGAGGGGGCCCGTTATCCCACAAGCAGTTGGGCTTCACCCTGGGGGTGGGATGTTTGGGGAATCTAAGTGGGGAGGGGGAGGGCAGTGTGTGCGTGTTGGGGGGCCACCTTCAGATGGCTCTGGTCTTGACAAGTAGCAGTTCCAGCAGTGCCTTCCAGAGGCCGCCTGAGGAAGGGGAGCTGGAAGGTAACTTATGGGGACAAAGCTTCTTTGCAATACATCCTGCGGGAGCCATGTTCTTGTTACTCTGCACGCTGAGAAGCCTTTTGAGCCCCCAACACACCTGGGCTAGACAAATAAAGCCTAGATGAGGGATCAACAAAGGTACAGGCGGGGGAGGCTGACGGCCTTACGGTGAGCCCACGTGGGTCATTATTAATTGGCTGGAAACATCGTGAAGTCACCGAGCGTCTCCAGTGCAGGCCCACAGACCCAGCCCCGAGCCCCAGGCGGGGTTTGGGGATTGTGCATCTCGAGAATTCTCCCACCTCCACGAAGCAGAGACTGAAGGGAATTTTTAAAAATTCTTTGAAAAGGCTTTTAGCTTTTCCACCATTCCCTGCCTCGTTGCTGCCTGTGAGAACGCAGCGCGGGCTTCCTGACGGGCGGGTCACTGCGATGGCGCCTGCCCAGCTCTCGGCTTCTGGGCCTGCCCCTCGGTGCACCCTCCACACCCGGGAAGCCCGGGAGAGCTTCTCAGACTTCCTGGCTCCCTGGGGCTTCAGGACAAGAACATCTCCGTGCTGGGTCCTGGGCCCCTGCCTGCTGTCCAGCCCGTCCCTGTGTTGGAAGTGTCTAAGTGAGGCTCACTGCATCAAGGCCTTTGCTCGGTCATCCTCTGGGCCCAGAATGCTCTTCCGTCCCTGTGTCCACTTGGTCAACTTCAAAATATTCTTCAAGACGGTCTCAAGCATCAGCTCTTCAAGAAAGTCTTCCTTTCTCCCCAATCCCCCAACCCCCCCAGTTGATCCAAGCTCTATTCTTCGATCCTCATGAAGAACCCTGCACAGGCTCTTGGGATGCCATTTGTTCACCTTTCTGCCTCCCTCTGTGAGCTCCTTGAGGACGAGGCCCACGCTTCGTTCAGTGGAGGACGCTCAATGCCCAGTACCGTCCTCACCAGGGCTCAATAAATTCCTGTTGAGAAAGTGATTGAAGGCAAGGTCAGGAATAGTACACAGAGGTGAGTGAGTGAAGAGCATTGGTCAGGTCACAAGATTATTCTGACTGTGCCACACTGTCGCCTTTGGCAAAGTGGTTTCCTTCCCTGGAAGGCTCCCTCTTTCTTGTCTCTGCTGTGAGGGGCCTAAATGCCTCTTCCCTCTTGAGTCTTGACAATGCCTCTAAAAGAGCAAAAGGACACCGATGCTCAGGTGGAGGGGGGTGATGGGGAACAGGTGCTCTCATGCATGGCTGATGGAGGATGAGGTGCAATTTTCACGGGCCATTGGGCTATAAATATTAAAAAGCCTTAAAATGTGCATACCTAAATACACAGTGATTTTACTTCCAAGACTTCTTGCCTAAGGAAATAACTAAAGACGTGACTAGAGATTTAACACCATGGATGTTCATCCTAGTGCTGTTCCTAATAATGAACACTGGAAATAACCCAAGTATCTAACAAGAGAGGATTAGTTAATAAATCAAACAAAATATTTATACAAAATATTATACAGACATAAAAATGAAGTAACCTATAACTATTTTTTTTCCTTTCTTTTTTTTTTATTTTTTTTTTTTTTGAGACAGAGTCTCGCTTTGTTGCCCAGGCTAGAGTGAGTGCCATGGCATCAGCCTAGCTCACAGCAACCTCAAACTCCTGGGCTCAAGCGATCCTCCTGCCTCAGCCTCCCGAGTAGCTGGGACTACAGGCATGCGCCACCATGCCCGGCTAATTTTTTCTATATATATTAGTTGGCCAATTAATTTTTCTATTTATAGTAGAGACGGGGTCTCGCTCTTGCTCAGGTTGGTTTCGAACTCCTGAACTCAAACGATCCGCCCGGCTCGGCCTCCCAGAGAGCTAGGATTACAGGCGTGAGCCACCGCGCCCGGCCTTTTTTTTTTTTTTTTTTTTTTTTTTTGAGACAGAGTCTCACTGTGTTGCCTGGGCTTGAGTGTCGTGGCGTCAGCCTAGCTCACAGCAACCTCCAACTCCTGGGCTTAAGCGATCCTCCTGCCTCAGCCTCCAGAGTAGCTGGGACTACAGGCATGTGCCACCATGCCTGGCTAAATTTTTTCCATTTTTAGTTGTTTGGCTAATTTCTTTCTATTTTCTAGTAGAGACAGGGTGTCGCTCTTGCTCAGGCTGGTCTCAAACTCCTGAGCTCTAGCACTCCTCCCACCTCAGCCTCCCAGAGTGCTAGGATTACAGGCGTGAGCCACTGCGCTAGGCCTAAACCTACAACAATTGATATAGAGAGATGTCCAGGCTAAAATTATTAAGTACTAAAATCAGATTGTAAAACAATATTTAAAGTTGTTCTTATCATGGTTGATGAATACATTATATCTGTATATAGGATATTAAATTATTAAATGGGTTATTGGTGAGTGGTGGGATTATGGGAAATTATTTTTCTTCCTACTGCTTATTTATGTGAAAAACATTGAAAAACTTAAAAGAAAAAAAAATTACCCACAATCTCACTTGATTGTAATTTCAATTTATTTTTATTTTTGCCTATTTGTGTTCTCATCAATGCAAATATACTGTGATAGGATTAAAAAAGTATTTCCAAGAACCTATAAAATTCTAGAACCTGATTCACAAAGAGCCACTTGACCAAATTCACACAGCAAGTCACTGGTGGAGCAAGGCTGGAAGAATGGCCTCCTCTGTCATGGGCCCCTGGGCTCCGCTTCCCTGCAGGTGATGGATCACTGAGCACGAGGAGAAGATGTTCTGGGTGTGTTGATGTCCCTGTTCCTTGGCCAACATGTGGTCTGGGCATAGAAGACAAGAGTGAGCGGCAGGAAGGTGGCTGAAGTTAGGAGGTGGGGCTACACTGAAACAGGACACAGGCGCCGCGGCCGGCAGGTGCTCACACTGACCAGGGCCCAGGCAGGTGGATGAACGCTCATGTCACAAGTACTTCTCCTGCTTGAGAATGGCAACCCTTCTGTCAGCCTTTCTAAAGTGAGAGGCTTCCCCCTCTTCTATTTCAGAATGATCCTGAATCATTAACCCGAATCCTCCCAGCTGCACGGATCTTGTCCCAGAGAGGCCTGGGCTGCATCGCCCAACTGACCACTAACCACAACCAGCTCTGCTCTCTCTTGGTTCCTGAAATCCAGAAGCAGATGGGGGATCAGAGGGTGGTTTTAGAGACAGCCCTCTACCATAAGTCAAGAAGAAAGGAGAGGGAGGAGGGATAGAGGAAGTTACCTTGGTCTTGAGCCCGTTGCCCCCAGGGTCCTCCTTCCTGTGAAGCCCAACGGTCACCAGCCAGATTTCCTGTCCCCGTATCCCCACCAAGAACCAGGGGCTGCCCAGCAGGGGTGGTGCAGGACCCAGGTGACTGCTGGAGTAGGGGATGGCCCTTGAGGCCAATTGGGGCATCATCACTCCCCTCTCTTCTTCCCTGGGGCCTCTCTATTCCCCATATCTCCTTAGGCTACTGGCTCCTGACTTTTGTTCCTTTCAAAGGAACCCTGGATACTCAGTTTGAGTGTACCCTCTGGGGGACAGCACTGGTCCAGGCACACAAGGGGGAGCTAAGAAACCCTGGAGTGGGAGTGCTAAGTTCAAAGGCTGGGCACAGCTCTGGTTCCTCCTTTCCTGCGCCTTGCCCCCATTTCGGGGGCCCTTCTATGTGACCCCCAACTTCAGTGGGGGAGGGGAGAGAGTTCAGTCTTCAGGGACAGTCCTTCCTCTGCCCTGCCCCGCCCCAAGCTTAGAGGACATAAAAGCCCAGATTCAGCTAAGAGGAGTTGCCAATGTCAGGTGAGCAACGGAGGTAGGGTCCTTGGAGGCTGGGTGCCTGCAGCTAGCAAGGGGATGTGGGTGCTGTGGACCCCTCCCTCAAGGAGGCCTGGCTTCATCCATAGATAGGGCCATGCAGGTGGGCTGGGGTGTGAAGGTGGGAGTGAGGGGCCCAGGAGGAGAGGGTGGTGGGGCTGTCTTCTCCCAGGTGCACTGTGGGCTCAGGGCACTTGCTGGGCCGGTGGGTGTCATTGCAGAGATGAAGCTGCTCCTGGCCCTAGCAGGGCTCCTGGCCATTCTGGCCATGCCCCAGCCCTCTGAGGGTGCTGCTCCAGGTAACATTCAAAAGTGGGGAAAAGGTGGTGTGTGGGGTGGTTCTGAGTCCCAGGGACCCCTTTTCTCAGTGCAGACTCCTTGGCCCTGGGGCCTGATGGGGGACTTTGGGCCCATTCCTGACTATGTGACCCCTGTTCTGGACAGCTGTCCCAGGGGAGGTAGAGACCACGGTGGTGCTGACCTGCATGGAGGAGGCCAAGCGGCTGGTGGACAAGGCCTACAAGGAGCGGCGAGAAAGGTGGGGTGCCGGGCATTGCCCAGCTCTGGGCAAGGCTGCCTCTGGCCTTTCAGAGAAAGCACAGTCAGCAGGGAGTTTGTAGGTGGGGATGGGGGTCTATGGGGACCCATGGGGCACCCTCTGTCTGCTTGTCCTTTCGTCTCTAGATGCAAGAATATCTTCAAAACCATCCCATCCCTCTCACAGCCTTGTCTCTGCCTGGACACCCGGCAGAGACAAATATACAAATATATATGTATTTTTTTTCAATTAAAAGAAAATTTCTTCCCGTCTGTGGGTCTATCTACATAGTTCTGTGTGTCTGCCCCTGGGCTGGGGCTCTGCTGAGTGTCTCTGCACCCTTCTTGGGCCCTCACTCCTCCTTTCTCCAAGCAGCATCAGGCAGAGGCTTCGCAGTGGCTCGGCCAGCCCCATGGAACTCCTGTCCTACTTCAAGCAGCCGGTGGCAGCCACCAGGACTGCAGTGAGGGCTGCTGACTACCTGCACGTGGCTCTGGGCCTGCTGGAGGGGAAGCTGCGGTCCCGGTGGCGGGCGCCCTTCAACGTCACTGGTACTGTTGCCCATCCCACCCCAGGCCCCTGCTTCACTAGGGACCCCTACTAGAGACCCCAGCCATCTCCCGGTGATCCCCTCAACTTCTCCCTCCAAGGAGTCTCAGGGGCATCCTAGCAACACCTCTGCTTCTCAGACAGGGCCCCCTCCAGGGTGTCCAGGGCTCCTCAGCCTCAGGTCACAGAAGATGGGAAATGAGGGGCTCAGTTCTCACCTACCCCCTTGTCCCCCCCAACCCGCTGCAGATGTGCTGACGCCCACCCAGCTGACTCTGCTAGCCAAGGCAAGCGGCTGCGCCTACCAGGACTTGGGGGTGAAGTGCCCGGAGAAGGACAAGTACCGCACCATCACCGGACACTGCAACAACAGGTGCGGCGGGCTGGGTGTGGCCCCGGGGTGCAGGGGCGCTCAGGGAGGTGCCATCTCGTGCCACCTTGTGCCATCGTCCTGTCCTTCCCCTGCAGACGCAGCCACACGCTGGGGGCCTCCAACCGCGCCTTTGTGCGCTGGCTGCCTGCCGAGTATGAGGATGGCTTCTCGCTGCCCTTCGGCTGGACGGCGGGGGTCAAGCGCAATGGCTTCGCGGTGCCCCTGGTGAGCGCCGGCGGGCGGAGGGGGCGAGGCCCGGCCCACGGTATGGGACCCAGGCGCCCCTGACGCCCCCTGTCCCGCAGGCTCGCGCGGTCTCCAACGCGATCGTGCGCTTCCCCACGGAGCAGCTGACCCCGGACCAGGAGCGCTCGCTCATGTTCATGCAGTGGGGCCAGCTCATCGACCACGACCTTGACTTCACGCCCGAGCCCGCCGCCCGGGCCTCCTTCCTCACTGGCCTCAACTGCGAGACCAGCTGCCTGCAGCAGCCGCCCTGCTTCCCGCTCAAGGTGCCCTGCTTCCCGCAAGCCCTGCCTAGGGGGGAGGTTGTTCCTGGAAGCGGCCCCCTCCCTTCTGTGCCCAGGTCTCCTTCCGCAGCCCCGTGTCCAGAGGCGAGGCCTGCCTGGCTCTCAGCCAGCGCATCCCATGCATTCCCTGCCTCTCCCCGGCCAGGGGAGAGAGTAATGCTTGTCCCTGGCTGGCAGGACCCTGTTTGGGGGATTACTGGCTCTTTGTTAGGCTGGGAGAGAGTTCTGGGATGAGGACCTTTTTGGTGTCCCTCGAACCTCCATGAGCAAGTGGCTCCTGCGCAGTCCTGCTTCCTCCCCTCCCCCCACACCCACATTTGGGAGCCGTGGGCTGGGGGGTTGAGGCACCCGCTGAGCAGAGAGAAGGAGGAGAGAAAGGAGAGAAAGTCTGAGAGAGAGGGCAGGAATGTCAGGGTCAGAGAGAGACAGGAAAGGGACAAGGGAGAGAGACAGAGGTGGGGAAAAGGAAAGGAAGTGGAGGCAGAGCCAGAGTATAGAGTCCACCCCAGGTGACCAGGAGGGAGGAACAGACACAGGAGAGGAGATGGAATCAGGAGAAGGTTTAGTGAGGAGGGGGGTGAGAGGACTGGCTGTGCCCACCCCAGGGAGCTCCCCACGTTCCCCGTTCCGCGTCCTGGTCATCAACCCTGAACCTCAGGGGTGCTCTGCTGGTGGAACCCCAGGCAGCAATCCCACTGGAGCCTTGAGAGGCCTCCCTGCAGGTTGAGGGACCTGAGGTCCTGAGGGCAGTGGGAGAGCGACTCTGCCCGCTGTCCCTGCCCTCGGGGAGCTGATCTAGCCTCTCTCTGTGTTGCAGATCCCGCCCAACGACCCCCGCATCAAGAACCAACAAGACTGCATCCCCTTCTTCCGCTCCTGCCCGGCCTGCACCGGGAGCAACATCACCATCCGCAACCAGATCAACGCGCTCACCTCCTTCCTGGACGCCAGCATGGTGTACGGCAGCGAGGACCCCCTGGGCCAGAAGCTGCGCAACAACAGCAACCAGCTGGGGCTGCTGAAGGTCAACACCCGCTTCCGCGACAACGGCAGGGCCCTGCTGCCCTTCGACAACCTGCACGACGACCCCTGCCTCCTCACCAACCGCTCGGCGCGCATCCCCTGCTTCCTGGCAGGTCAGCTCTAGGGTGGAGACCTGGGGTGGCACGGGAGGTGTCCCCTGCTGGAGGCAGCGGGCCTGTTCGTGAGCAGCGTGTGGGCCTGTATGTAGAGAGAACTGCCCTCACCAACTTCATGATATTAATCCGGTTGTCTTGGTAACAAGTTGATGGAGTGAGAAAGGCAAAAAACCAAATGGCCCTCCCCCAGCTCAAACCTAAGATGGCGACACAGGAAGACTGAGGAGCCTCTGTCTGTCCATCCATCACTTTCTCTGTCACTCTTTCCCCTTCCTCTGGACTCTGGAGGACAGGAGAGTTGAGTTGTTGGAGACAGGGTGCTAAAGGGACAGAGAGCACTGCGGTGCCCTCACCCTCTAGAACTACACTGTCCGATGTGGTAGCCACTAGCCACATGTGGCTATTTGAATTTTAAATATTAAAATTAAAATTAAATATTAAACAAACTCAGTTTCTTGGCCGCACTAGCCATGTTCAAATGCCTCAGCAGCCTCATTGGCTAGTGGCTTCCTATCAGGTGGCACAGATGTCGAACATTTTCATCACCTCGGAAAGTTCTGCTGGGCAGCGCTGTTCCAGAATATCTCCTCCTGCCCATCCTGATTGCCTGTCATAAGAGAGGGTGGGATTTTAAATTTAAATACGAGAAATTTCCGGGCCAGCTGGGGCAGTGAAAGCAGCCGTGACCAGAAATTTTCCAGTGTGTTTTATTATAAACCCATTAGTGGGCCTGAGGCCATTTCCTGTGGCCTCCCTCCCTCCCCTCCTGCTGGCTCCTGCTGGTCTCTCCCCGGCTGGGCCCCTGGGAGGACAATGAAGGTCAGTGCCAGTGTGGGCTTCCTGGCCCCACGACTTCTGGGCTAGCTGGGCAAGGGCAGCATTCCCCAGCCAGGCATGGCCACCTCCAGCCTGGCTTTGCTGAGCCCCCTGTCCCAGGCTCACAGATGGAGAAGCTGCTCTCAGAGAACTTCCTTCCCACCAGCTTCTAGACTTGGCTAGGACTGAACCCAGTGTCCTGCTGAAATGGCCCTGACCCTAGCCCTCTGGCCCCTCCAGAGAAGGGTTGGGAGAGAGCTAGAACAATCGTGGGTCTTGCTTAGTTTTCTAGAACAGTCTCAGGTGTGGCCCCCACACATCCTGTGCACTAGCTCCCTCCTCTGGAGCAAGCTGCACCACTGGCATGTAGTAAGGGTGGGGCTGACAACTCCATTCACATGGTAGTGGCTTTCTGGAGTCCTGTGTTGAGAAGGATTCTGAGGGTGCATCTAGTATTAGCAGGAAAGAGTGTTGTGATCATTAACTGCGTCTGACACAGGTAAGGAGATAGGCCGTGCCAACATACATGCTACTTTTTGACCTTCCCTGAATCAAGAGAACCAGTTAGCTAGGCAGTGTTCACAAATCTCACACTTTGTGCCAGGCACCATGTTCAGCCCCATGTGTCTCTGTGTGTGTTGGGAGGGAGGGTAAAACACACAAAGGCACAAGCCATGGTCATTGCTCTCAAAGAGTTCCCAGTTTCAGGTACAGGAAGGTGGCAAGCCATGTGTCAGATCTGATATGAATGAGCATCTCTGACCAGCAGTGCCCCTAAGCAGAGGAAGCAGCTATTCTGGTGGCCTGGGGCACGAGGACAGGCCTCCTAGGGGAGTGTGAATTGAGCATGGTGTGAAAAGATGGGTGGAGAGGAGGGGTTAGTAGGAGACGTTTCAGGCCTTGGCTGGGGAGAGAGTTTCAGGGGAGCAAATGTTTTCTGGGATGGAAGTCTTAGGAATGACAGTGGCTTTCACTTTCCTAAGGGGACACCCGCTCCAGCGAGATGCCGGAGCTCACCTCCATGCACACCCTCTTTCTGCGGGAGCACAACCGCCTGGCCGCACAGCTCAAGCGCCTGAACCCCCGCTGGAGTGGAGAGAGGCTCTACCAGGAGGCCCGGAAGATCGTGGGGGCCATGGTCCAGGTAGGATGTCCTGAGCGTCAGGCTGACTTGGGACCCCGACATGCATCTGCAGCATCCTAGCTGTGTGACCTCGGGCAAGTTACCAACCCTCCTGAGCCTGGGTTTCTTCACCCATGATGCAATAAGGATTAAAGGACACATACGAAAACACCTGCAGACATTAGGTGCTTGACAAAGGCTCCCCCGCTTCCCTCCCCTTCTTCCCAGTCTTGCTGCTCCCTGTCATCTTCCCTGTGGGTCCAGGAATGGTGTCAGAGGGTTGAACGGGTGGTCTAGCGCCTGACGCATAGTAGCTGTTTAGGAAGTGTGTCTCCTTCCTCCATCTCGTTGTCGCTCTTCTTTTTGGCTTTGCTGGAACTCCTCAGCCTCGTTTGCCCCCGGGGCAGTGTTCCTGGCTCTCTCCCCCGACGTCCATCCGAGGCTTCAGTGTCCCCGTCCTCTCCCCAGGATCCCATATTGATACAAACGCACACACATAATCACGCTCCCTTAGATTCTAGATGCGGAGGGAGTTGCAGGTGCTGACAGTGAGTTTTTCGTTTGCACTAAGAACTCAAGTGAGATTCATGTAAGCATCAGAGGAAATTCTAGAGCCTAGAATCTAGAGAGAGACTGCTCCACATCTTCCCTTTCCACTGGGGGCAATTATGCCAGAGTGTTCGTCATTCCTTCCTGCCTCCCCGCCTTCCACAACCTGTATGGAGCCCTGTTGTGGGCCAGGCACTTGGTGGGCACTGTGAATAATTTCAGTAATTTCACTTTCCCTGGCTCTCAAGGAGTTCATAAGATAGTAGGAAAAATGAGACATGAATAACTCAAGGGTAAGGGAGGTATCATGATGAATAATAAAGTGCTTTGTTGTTTAATTCTCTAGGGCAGAGGGCAATATAATTACCCTTAATTTACATTTGAGGGACTCAGGCTCAGAGAGGTTAATAACTGGTCCAAGGCCACACAGTCAGCAAGCAGGAGAGCTGTGTTTATGCCCCTGGGTACCACTCTGTTAGGCCTGGATCCAGTGTTGTGGGAAGCAATTCTCTGACCACAGATGGGGGACAGGAGGGATCCCTCAAGCCAGGAGCAGGGCGAGACTGCAGCGAGGAGTGAGTAGAGAGGCCATTCCAGGTGACTTTTCTTTAGATTATCACTTACCGGGACTACCTGCCCCTGGTGTTGGGGCCAGCGGCCATGAGGAAGTACCTGCCCAGGTATCGCGGCTACAACGACTCAGTGGACCCGCGCATCTCCAATGTCTTCACCAACGCCTTCCGCTATGGCCACACCCTCATCCAACCCTTCATGTTCCGCCTGGACAGTCGGTACCGGCCGGTGGCGCAAAACCCCCGCGTCCCACTCAGCAGGGTCTTTTTTGCCTCCTGGAGGGTAGTGCTGGAAGGTGAGTGGGACCCGGGCCAGGAGAGGGTGGGCTTGCCGCTGAGGGTGGGGTGGGGGTGGCTTTGGCTGCGGGGAGCTGGGCTGGGGAGAAATCTGCTTTCCTTCCATCTCTGGGAGCTGGTCTGACTCCCTGTGTCAGCCAGCCCACCTCTGCCCCCACATCTGATGATATAGAGTGGGTGGAGACGGCTGTCGGAGGAGCTGGCTCCTTCCTACGAGTGTGGGTCTACGTGATTCTCTGTGACCCAGGGGGCCAGGGGCTGGGAGCATCCCAACCTTGCAAATCTGAATGGCATAATGCCCTGAGACCTCTGTTTGTCTGGGGTCATGTAGTGACTGGTGGGGACTTGCTCACTGGGGCCACCTTGGCACCAGGCGTGGCTTGTGCCCAGCCCTCTTCTCCAGTCCTCTGACCCCACCTGGACTTGTCCCTGGCTCCAACCTGAGCCCTGATACTGAGCCAGATCCTTCCCCTACCCTGCTCCTCTTGCGCCCAGGTGGCATTGACCCCATCCTCCGGGGCCTCATGGCCACGCCTGCCAAACTGAATCGTCAGAACCAAATCGTGGTGGATGAGATCCGGGAGCGATTGTTTGAGCAGGTCATGAGGATCGGGCTGGACCTGCCCGCTCTGAACATGCAGCGCAGCCGGGACCACGGCCTCCCAGGTGAGGGGCTGCAGGAGTCTCCCCTGCCACACCCCCCTCGGTGCCTCCCAGGTAGCTCGTAGCTCCCCTTCCCACTCTAGGGCCCTCTGCTGCCTCCAGCTCTCCCCCCACCCCAGCACTTTGCTCTCAGCAAAGGTCAGGCCCCCTGAGGTCAGGCCCCCACCTTTCCCTGCGCCCATCTGGCCAGTTTTTCTCCCAGCCTCCTTTGCACACTGTAACCCTCATCATAATAATAACAATGACCCACAGTCTGAAAATCTGTCTCCATCATCATTTCACTTTGTTTCATTGTACATGAACCTTGAGGGAAAGAGATTATTATTGCTTCCATTTTACTGAGGGAGAAACTGAGGCTTAGAGAGACTCAGAAACTGGCCAGGTTCTCTAGCCAGAGACAAAGCTAGAATTTGAACCCAGATCAGCCTAACCCGGATGCCTGTGCCTGTATTATGAAGTAGCCAGCGTGGCTGAGGCTTCTAGACACACTTCACTCCTCATGGATCAGAGACAGACACATTGGGTTGCTCCAGAGGGGGACAGTGAAATGTCCCTATTCTTGGAGCTGGCAGGAGTTATGGCAATTTAGGGTCTGCCTTAGGGTGGGAGAGCAAGGGAAAGACAGGGAGGGTCCTAGAGAGGCCCAGCTGTGCCCCTTGGCCTGAGCCAAGGGTTCAGGGTTCCCTAGGGAGGGGTCCTCCCCTCCGTCTATGACTTTGGTGTGTGGGGGAGGTGGGTTTTCTGGGCTGATGGCATGTTTCGACCCTCCCCTGCTGTGCCAGGGACCTCCCCACCTCGCAGCACAGGGCCCTGCCCACAGCCACCCGCCCCTCCCCCTCCCAGGGTACAATGCCTGGCGGCGCTTCTGCGGGCTCCCGCAGCCCAAATCGGTGGGCGAGCTGGGCTCGGTGCTGAAGAACTTGGACCTGGCGAGGAAGCTGATGGCGCAGTACGGCACGCCCGACAACATCGACATCTGGATGGGTGGTGTGGCCGAGCCCCTGGAGAACAAAGGCCGCGTGGGTCCCCTCCTCGCCTGCCTCATTGGCACCCAGTTCAGGAAGCTCCGGGATGGCGATCGGTGAGGAGGGGGCTCAGGCCCGAGGAGGGGGGCACAGGGGCGGGGCCTGTGCTGGACCCTCTCAAGGTCCCAATTTCCTTCAGTCAAAGGAAGGGCTGGAAAGAGTCAGTGATTTTCCAGTGTGTTCTGGGGAGCCTCCAGGTCATCCCTAAGGTGCCCTGAACTCATTTGGGGGTGCAGCAAGGAGCAACCTGGACCCCTGGTTGTGAAGGAAGGGAGACAAAAAAAAAATGCCACTCTTAACTACTTCTCCCCCTGGGTTCCACTGTGCAACCATGGAGGTGTCAGTCACTACTGAACAGTTCCATCCTAGCTTTCCCATGGCTTCCCTTAGTGCCATTTCAGTGTGGTCCTGACATCTTCATGTCTGGCTCTTTCCTAGCCTGTGTTGCACTTTTGGGAAAATTAGAAATAGGTGCCTCTCTCTGGGTGGGCAAATTATAAACCACGCCCAAGATTCTCTCCCATCCTGGAGGATGCAGCCCCAGGCCAGGGCACAGGGCTTCAGGAGTGGGTGTGGGCTGGGCTCCCCCTCCAGCATGGGTAGTGCTCTGGAGGTTGCTGGGCTGGGCAGGGGAGAGGCAGCTGGGCAGCCGTGCTTTTCTCTGCACTGTGAGAGGGGGACCCCTCTAGACCCCTGGGCTGCCTGAGAGCCTGGGGCTCTCCCATGCAGCTGGGCAGTGTCTGCTGTGACCCTCTTGCATCCAGGGAGCAGCAGGTGCAGTGTCCACGGGTGTTCCCCATGCAGGTTTTGGTGGGAGAACAAGGGCGTGTTCAGCACACAGCAGCAAAAGGCCCTGGGCAAGATCTCCTTGCCACGCATCATCTGCGACAACACAGGCATCACCACCGTGTCCAAGAACAACATCTTCATGTCCAACTCGTTTCCCCGGGACTTTGTCAACTGCAGTACACTTCCTGCATTGGACCTGGCTGCCTGGAGGGAAAAGGCCTAGGGGCTGGGTAAGGGGGTGCGGCAGTGAGGGGTATACCTGGGCTGGCCAGCTGGAACCACAGAGGTCTCCTGTCCCTAGATGAGCACATCCTGTTGGCGCCAGCTGAGAAAATGAGCAGCTGGACGTTCACTTTTTGTGTGTGTGTGCATACGCTTGTGCACAGTGTCTATAAATTGGCATTGAGTGTGGCTGTGAACACGGGTAGTGTTTTATGTGCTCTGCATGCGTGTCGTTTGTGTGTGTGTTTGCTGTTTTTGAGAATGTTAAGTATGTGGAGGGCAGCAGAGTAGATGGGTGAGGAGCCCAGCTCAGGAGCCGGACCGCCTGGGCTCACTCCCTGGCTCTGAGGCTTACTGGCTGCATGACCACTCGGCCTCACCAAGCATGAGTTTTCTTCCTTGCAAGTCACAGCCGGCAGGGCTCCTCAGAGGCCCGTTTGCATAATCTCGTTCTTCATTTATTGTGCGCCTACCACGTGCAAGGCGCCGTGCTTGGCGTGGGAGACTTACAGAGGCAGGAGAGACACCAGGATACCACTTGTGCCCTCAGGGAGCTTGCCCCTTTGCTGCGTCCTGGCTTGCAGAGGTGAACTGGTGACCCTGGAGGATGGACCGCTCGCAGCTGGGCCGTGTGGCTCCGGCCTCGGGTTCCCTCTTTCTTCCTTACTCTGTTTTCTTGCTTATTCACAGGCGTCTTCCTAGTGGGCCCAGTGGCCTTTCTGTACGTACTGTTTGTTTGCCCTGATGTTTATGGTAATAAAGCACCTCGGATGGGACCCCTGCTCTGGCGTGTCTGCGGAAGGCCAGCGCCTCAGCACAGAGGCTCCCGCTGGGCTCCGAACCTGAGCCCGTGTGGCCTTGTGTTTCTGAACTGGGCATGGGGCTCCGGGGAGTCCTCCTTTGGCCTATCCACGCCTGGGGGGCTGGCCATGCTGAACAGACCCTCCTCCCCCACCCCCACCCCTGCCTGCCTGCAGGGGACTGTGGTCACTGAGCCCTCCTGTGCGTTCCTTGCTCTGGCAAACATTTGCCGCGCTCACTCGGTGTCAGGAAGTAGAGGGGACAACGTGCTGTGTGGGGGCAGAGAAAGAGCAGAGGTCTGGTAGGGAGGCAGCGCCCCCCAAGGAGAGGAGACTCCTGTGTCCTGCATCCCTGAAGCCTGGCACAGGGGTTCAGAGCCCCTTCTCACTCCTGGCTCCATGTGGCCAGCCCCCTGAGCAGGGACAGCAGATGGCTGGGCCCAGAACGCAGGGCTGGCGCTGCGGGAGGAGGAGGACTGCATTTCCCTAGTAGCGCTGCCTGGAGCGTGACCCTACATCTGACAGGCGGACCCCCCTGCTTCCCTCCACTTTTCCCACACAAGGGGCACCGCAACTGGGAAGGTGTGGAGGATGATGGGGTCCAGTGGACCCCTGGGGCCCCCAGGTAATGTTAGCGCCTCACTGTGGTGAGCAGCAGGGTAAGCAGTGCGGGTTCCCCTTTCACTGATGAGGACAGGGCTGCTCGGAAAGGCAGAGGGGCTCATTTGAGGCCTCAAAGAAGTGGTGGCCAGAGCCAGGGCTGCAGCCCAGGTCATCGGGCTGCTGGGCTCTCCCCACAGGATGGCTAAGTGTCTCCCACTTCCACCCCGCTGATCGGGGGCCCTGGGGCCCTGGCTGAGCTGACCTTACCTGGAGGATCATTTTAAAATAAGAGCAGGCCGGGCGCGGTGCTTCACGCCTGCAATACTAGCACTCTGGGAGGCCAACGAGGGCAGATTGCTCCAGGTCAGGAATTCGAAATCAGCCTGAGCAAGAGTGAGACCCTGTCTCTACTATAAATAGAAACAAATTAATTGGCCAACTAACATATATAGAAAAAATCAGCCGGGCATGGTGGCGCATGCCTGTAGTCCCAGCTACTTGGGAGGCTGAGGCAGGAGGATTGCTTGAGCCCAGGAGTTTGAGGTTGCTGTGAGCTAGGCTGATGCCGCGGCACTCACTCTAGCCTGGGCAATAAAGTGAGACTTAATAAAATAAAATAAAATAAAATAAAATAAAATAAAATAAAATAAAATAAAAGCATATGAATCTGTATTGAGTAGCATCTCAGGAATATTCTGAAATTGCCATTTAGAGACTTCATAGGCCCTAGGACTGCCCTAGAACTGTGGTCCCCAATCCCCCAGGGCTACAGACCAGTACCATCAGTGGCCTGTTAGCAACTGGGCTGCACAGTGGGAGGTGAGCAGTGGGAGACCGAAGCTTTACCTGTATTGACAGCTGTTCCCCATCGCTCGAATCACCGCCTCCCCTCCCCCACCCCATGGAAAAATTGTCTTCCGTGAAACCACTCCCTGGTGCCAGAAAGGTTGGGGACCGCTGACTTAGAAGAAGAGGGTATTTCCCAGAAGGGCTGCTGGAAGAGAAATCACCTTTAGCTGCAGGGGAGTTCAAGCTTGGTTTTCCTTCCTGTTTTATCCCTTGGCAACACCAGTAATTCCCCTGCCCCCACCTTCCAGCAGCCCGTCTCCTGCTACTCCACAGCCAGTTCTTCTTCCCCAGGAGCCCTTGCTTCGAGAGCTCTTGGAAATCCCACGACACTATGCCCTCCCACCCCAAGATCCACGTGTGCCATATCTTAGCAACGAGACAGGTGTGGGTTACAAACATCTAGTTGCTTATTTGGCAGTAATTCCAAGGCCTGACTTGAGAGGGAACAGTGTCATTGCTAGTATCTTTAGTCAATCACCAGGTGTATTTGAGCACTATGTGCTGAGCACCACGCTAGGTGCCATGGGGCACACTCGGGCCACAGACTCAGCAAAGCCCGTTGAGGGGAGAGGACAGGTGACATGCAGCAAGCTAGCCTGGAAGGTCATCTCAGAGGGCCTGGGTCCCGACAGGAAGGAGGATTTCCACAGGCAGAGAGGCTGTGGGTGGAAGTGGGGGAGCCGAGTGCAAGAGCTGGGGAGGCCAAGGCAGCCTCCCCCGGGCCTGGATGAGCTGTTCATCTGGCAGGTGTGAAAGGCCCAGCTTGGAAGAGGGGCTGGGACTGGGTGTGGAGCTCTAAAGGACCAGGTCATTGGACTTGCGTGAAATGGCATCGTGGACCAAAGGGAGCTTGACTGTGCAGCGTGGAGGCCTTGGAGCCCAGGCCCCTAATCCTCCGCCGAGGCCCAGGGTGAGAGGTCCAGCTTGTCGATGGCTGAGCAATCCACAAAGCCTCGTGGGTAGCTGTTAGCCCGGAATGCGTTCAGCGGGACCTTGGTGATACGGGTGTTGTCACAGACAAGGCGTGAGAAGGACATTTTCTGTAGAGAGTCCTGCTGCTTCTTCGTGAAGACCCCGGGGTTTTCCCACCAGAACCTGCAGGGACAGAGCAGGTCATTGCATCCCGTCCAGCTGTGGCCTCGCCCCACTCTGCCACAGGGGAAGGAAGTAGGCCACTGGGACCATGGAAAAGCCCCACTCACACCGAGGTCTGGAGTTAGTCCTCACGGAGGACGCAGGACACTGGGACACCCGCCTTGGAGAAGGGCCCCACCCTGCCTCCCCAGCCGAAGTCTCACTCGCCTGTCTCCATCACGGATCTGCTGGAACTGCTTGCCCAGGAGGCAGGCCAGGAGGGGCCCCACCGCACCCCTTTGCACCAGGGGCTCAGCGATGGCCCCGACCCAGATGTCGATGTTGTCAGGGCTGCCGTAGAGACGCAGTAACTTCTTGGCCAGCACCTTGTTCTTCAACACAGCGTTCAGCTCCTTCAGGGTCTGCGGCCGTGAGAGGTCACAAAAGCCTCTCCAGGAGTTGTACCCTAGGGTGGAGAGGCTGAGGCTGTCTCATCCCTGCCCACACACCATCTCGGGGACATACCCACTCCAGCTCTGTCAGCCCTAAAATGTCTGAGCTCACAGCCTTTGGGATGGGGAGGCAGTGATCTGTTATTTTGTGTCTGTGGCACTTTAGTCCTGCGGGGACTGTAGGACGTGGTACTATGAGTCCAGGCTCTATTCTAAGCTCTGTATAAATATGCAAACTGAAGAACAGAAGTGTTAAGTAACTCACCCAAAGTCCCATAACTAGTAAATGGCACACCTGCGATATGAACGGAGGCAGCCTGGCTTTTAATTACTATATTAAATTGTCACTTATGGGTAGAAAAGAAAGGTCCAACAGTCATCAATTTCTCTCTGTTCTTTTCTTAATATTTTCTGAGCTTTTAAACTGTTTTTACAAGTTAGTTGTTCTCTTTTTCATCTGAGGAACTCCAAGATTGTACCAGGGATGTGCTCTTGTCTCTGCATGAGAGAAAATGGAAGATTCCACTTCGTAGATGAACAAAGTGGGTTTTCAAAACTGGCCTTCCTTCCATTTCAGAATAGATCAGATTCTCAGGGTTATACAGAGGAGAGTCTCTAAGAGCCCCAGAAATCAGCTAAAAGTTCCGCCGTGCAGGCCAGACCCCAGCGCGCTCACCAGGCTGCCCGTGGTCCCGGCCACGCTGTATGTTGATGGCAGCCAGGTCAAAGCCGTGGATCCTGTGCGTTGGCTGGAAAAGCTTATTGCGCAGCTCTCCCGTCATCATTTTATTCTGTTTCATCAACTTGGCCTTGTTGGCCAGCATGCCCCGCACCAGAGGATCAATGCCACCTGCCAAGAGAGACCGGAGGCCATCCTTAGGATGGAGTAGGGTGGGGGACATCTTCCACGGCTGGCCCCTGCCTCCACCAGACATTTTCTCTTGGATGACAGTAGGGCCACCTGGACAGCGTGGGCTGGAAGTGGGGAGAGCAGAGCACAGTGCAGCCTGCATGGTGTGCTCAGGGGGAGAGGAGAGTCCACACTGCCTGCTCCGAGAGTGGCAGAAAGGGAGAGATGAAGACAAGAGTATAAATGTCAAAAATTTTTTTTCGAGTTCTAGTTCATGGAGTCAGCTCCTTCTCTTTCGCTGTGTTCTGCTGAGGAACATTGCAGAATGGAAAGAGGCTGCATAAATCTTTAGGAAATGGCCCTAATGCATCAGGCCTTAAGTAAAGCTAGTGTCAGCGCAGCACAGCCCAGGGATAAAGGAAATCTGGCTCCCACCTGTGGCACCTCATGGAGGTGGAAGGCTTCCAAGAAGAATAGAAAAGAGCAGTTTATTTACCAAGCCCATGAATTCTTTCTATAGAGGTCAGAGAAGCCTAGGGCAGGGCAAGGAGGTAGGGCAATCCCAGGCACTTTAGAAGCCAGAAGGAGGAAAGAAATAATAATAACTAATATTTATTGATCACCTCCTTTGTGTCACCCAACCATTGTAGGGTGTTCTGTATGTATATCTGATTTAATTTTTTGGATATCAGCACGAGATGAGTATTCTTATTTTCCCCATTTTACACATGAGGAAACTGGGGCTCAGTGAGGTGAAGTCACTTGCCCAAGGTCACACAAAAGTGCCTGGAGTCTGACTTCCAAGCCAGGTACCCCTACGAGCAGGCTGCAGAGAAAAGAGCCAGGTGACAGCTCCCCGAAAGGACATACCATCTTTGACTATCCTCCAGGTGTTGAAGAAGAGGGTGTGCAGGGCAAGTTCTGGTTCTGGACCCCATGGCCGATAATTCTCATCCAGACGGGACATAGTAGAGGGGACTTCCAAGTGGCCAAAGCGGAAGGCAAAGGTGAAAACATTGGAAATTCGGGGATCCACAGATTCATTGTAGCATTGGTATGGGGGGATCCATTTATGCATATGGTCACCTAGCACAATGGGTAGGTAGTCTCTAAAGGTAATAATCTGGAGAGAGAAATGAGGAAAGGGTATGAGAAGGTTTGAACTTCTGCAGAGGGAGACTGGAGAAGAGCTATGGCCAAGAAGGATGAACAGTCAAAAATCGACGATGGCAAATGGATAGCATTCATGCCCAGTTTCCATTCCTATGACCATGGCAGACATTGCTAATCGATCATGGCATCCTGTCTGCTGATCTCTTATAATTTTTCTCAACATACGCTCTACTAATCAGTCATTTGAATTTGGCACATGAGATCCTTCTTTGTCATCTTTGCTCTAAGTTTATGACCTTGATGCTAAAGTGGCAGTCCTTGTGTGTCACTTTAATGTAACAAAGTCAGGGTAAGAAGAATGATAAACAACAGGAATGATTCAGGAGCAACCAAGGGAAATTCATTCAATCTCCAGTTCTGAAAGAAATGCTGCATCATGGAAAGATTGGTTTCTAATGTTTTATGCAACAACAATAAACAACACAAATAGAAAAAAATTTTCAGAAAAGAAAAATCATGCCTCCACATAACACAATAATTATATTAATCTGTATTCTTTCTAGTCTTTTTCTATATGATATATATTTTATCTATATAATATATTTTATTGTATATATTTATTATAGTTATAATCCTAGAGAATGCATAGCTTTGCATTCTGCTTTTTCACTTAACATTTCCCACATTTCTAACTAGCTTTCACAATTATTTTAAATGTGTGTAATATTCATTGGCCATTCTCTTACTGATTTACTCTTAGGCGGCTTCCACTTTGTTCAGTGGCATATCCCGTGGGGATGTCACCTGTGGATCAGGCAGTCTGTCCCCCAGGCTGTGAGAGGCAGCAGGAGACAGAACCCCACCTCTGGCAACAGTAGATGGCCCAGCAGTGGCACCTGACCAAGCTGGTCAGTCAGATTCCCTCTCACAAAATTTAGATTGGGGATGCAGCTATTCTAGACTGTTCAGGATGGTAATGGATCTGAGGTGGCAGGTGGGGTCACATAGGTGCTCATTTTCTAACATGTACTGAAAAGCAGAGAAGACCCATCTGCAGAGAGAGTGGGGAACAATGGAGAAATTGAGAGAGGAGCAGAGAGGGGGGAGCGACAGAACCAGAGTAGCTGCCTTAATTCCAGATGGTTTCCAATCTCTGGCTCTAACCCTGGATAAGGCTCAACTACACTCCCTGTCTTGGGGTCCCAGAAGAAACCCTTATCGTCTTCCATTTGACACACGTATAGGGTTGAACCAATACTGAACTTCTGAACTAGCCTGAGTGGGTTTCTTTTTCTTGTAGTCCAAAAAGCATTGTTATAGACTGAACTATATATGCCTCAAATTCTTATGTTGAAACCTTAACCTCTAATGTGACTGTATTTGCAGATAGGGCCTTAAGGAGGTAATTAAGGTTAAAAGAGGTCATAAGGTGAGGCTCTAATCCAATACAGCTGGCATCCTTATAAGGAGAATGGGATAGACCAGATAGGCACACACACGGAGAAAAGGCCATGTGAAGACACAGTGAGAAAGCAGCTGTCCGCAAGCCAAGGAGACAGGCTTCGGGGAAACCAAATCTGCCAGCAACTTGATCTTGGACTTCCAGCCCCTAGAACTGTGAGGAAATTTTTGTTTAAACCATCTAGTCTCTGGTATTTTGTTATGACAGCCTTGGCAAACTAATATAAGCCTTAACTTATACAATCTTTAGGCAGATATTTTTTACTCTGTGGATGATTTCCTACAAACATCTCCAGCAATAAGATTTCTGGGTCCATTTTAAAAAAAAAAATAAATATTGAATTCTGGAGATTTTGAGAAAAAAATGGAAATAGATCTCTTTGATAGTTAAAAATATGTACATGAGGCTCTGGTTCTAGAACAAGATGGAAGAGACTCATTTTTCCTTGCTCCTCCCACTAAATACAACTAAACACCCTGGGAATTAGTCAACAGGCAACATAAAAGGACTTTGAAAGCTGGAAAGAAAGAGGTAAATTGGTTGGGGATTTTATGACTTGGGGAATACCAACATGGTGAGTTCCTACACTCCCTCAGACTGGGTGCAGGAGAGGCTGGCAATCTGGAACCTCCAACAGAAATAAACAAAAGAAGTCAAGTAAAGCCTGCTGTCTCCTTCAGAAGGATTGGGCCAAGGGAAGTCCAGCGGAGACCTAGTAGAAAGCCCTGATCCCTGCTTCACAACTCACGCCCCCTTGAAGACTCTGGCTATTCCAGCCCTCAATCTAAAATCTAGGTTGGCAAATGGTCTGATTGGCCTGCAGTAGTGGCAGCAGTGTCTCTTTGCTCATCACCTGGTGGCATAAGTAGATCAGGCACAGTGACTTCTCTTTTCCTAAAAGGTTGCTGAGCAACAGCAGGCAGCAAGGAAAGTACCTTCCTGCCTTGCAGACAGCACCAGCAGGGGTTGAGTGGGAAGCCCAGCAGCACCAGAAGAATGAAGCAAACCAAAATAGCATTGCTAGGTTCAGGAAATTAAACTTTGGTGGAATTAAAGCTCACAAAAGTAGTCCAGAACCTACATGCTAAACCTAAACAAGGTAAGTATGTGCTAAAAATTTAAATAGGATTAAGAGTCTCCTAACACAATAACCAAAATGTCTAGGATACAAATAAAAATCACTCATAATACCAAGAACCAGGAAAGCCACATTTTGAGTGAGAAAAGACAATCAGCTGATGTCAAGACCAACATGAATCAGATGTTAGAAGGATCTGATATTTTAAAGCAGCCATTATAAAAATGCTTCAATAATAAATTATAGATTATCCTAAAACAAACAAATAAAAATAGAATATCACAGCAAAGAAGAAAAAGTTATAAAAAGAAACAAATTAAAATGATAGAACTGAAAGTATACTAACTGAAATTTTAAAAATACTTAAATAGATTCAATAATAAGTAGAGATGACAGAGGATAGAATTGAAGACAGATCAATAGAATTTTCTCATTCTTAACAACAGAAAGAAAACAGACTCAGACAAATGAGAGTATCAGGGTTCTGTGAGACAATAACAAAAGTTCTAACATTCATATCAATGGAGTCCCAGAAGTAGAGGAGAAAGGGGGTGAAACTGAAAAGTATTTGAATAACTAATCCCTACAAATTTCTCAAAATTGGTAAAAGACATGCATGTACAGATTTGAGAAGGTAACTGAATCTCAAACAGTACAAACATAAAGAAATTTACTCCAAGACACATCATAATTAAATTTCTGAAAACTAAACATAAAGAAAATTCTCAGGCCAGGTGTGGTGGTTCACGCCTACAATCCCAGCACTTTTGGAAGCTGAGGTGGGAGTATCACTTCACCCAGGGATTTGAGGCCAGGAAAAAAAGAAAGAGTTTGAAAAACAGCCAAAGAGAATGACAAATTACCTATAAAGAAGCACCAATCCAAATAACACTGAATTTCTCATCTGAAACCATGGAGGCCATGAGAAAGTCACAAAATATTTTTCATGTGCTGAAAGAAAAGAACTGTCAACCCTGAATCTACTATCTGGTGAAACTATTCTTCAGGAATAAAAGGGAAATAAAGACATTCTCAGATGAAAGAAAAGTGAGAAAATCTGTTGCTAGCATACCTATCCTTAAAGAATGGCTAAAGAAAACTCTATAAACACAAAGATAGTGATAACAAAAGAAGGCTGGGACTTCAGAAAGGAAAGAAGAATGTAATGAGTAAAAGTAGAAGCAAACAAATTATTTTCTACCTTATAAGTTTCTTTAATCATATTTTATGATTGAAGCACCATATGATGTCATGCAAAATGTATGTAGAGGAAATACTCTAGATAATTATATTTTAAAAGTGGGAGGGGGTTAAAGGTCCTAGTGGAAGTAAGTTTTCTATATTTAATTTGAAGCGATAAAACACTGACACCAGCAGATTGCTATATGCCATGTGTCTTTATCTTTCTATCTCTATCTATCTATCTACCCATGCTGAGAACAACCACTGGAAAAAAAAAAAAAAAAAAAACAAAAAAAGAAAAACAAAAAGGAACCCCAAAAAAACGTCCAATAAACCAAAAAAAACAAAAAAAAAAAAAACAACAGAGGAACAAGAAACAGAAAGAACAAATAGAAAACAAATAATAAAATGGCATGGTTAAGCCCTAACACATTAATAGTTACTTTAAAGGTAAATGGTCTAAATACATCAGTTACAAGGCAGAGATTTGCACAGTAGATTTTTTTTAAGTGACCAAACTATATGCTGTCTACAAGAAACTCACTGTCTACAAGAAACATGATTACATACATATTGGTAGGTTGAAATGGAGGAAATAAGATATATCACAGAGATATTAATTTTAAAAAGGAGGAGTGGCTATATTAATATCAGATAAAGTGGACTTCAGAGCAAACAAAGTTACCTAGGACAAAAAGGGACATTATATAATGAAAAAAGGATCTATCTATCAAGAAGATAAAGCAATCTTAAATGTTTATGCATCGAACAACAGAGCTTTAAAATATATGAAGCAAAACCTGTTAGAACTGAAGGAAGAAACAGGCAAATCCTGAATTATAGCAGACACACACACACACCTACACGCACAGAGATGATTGAATTTATAACTGGTGAAGTCTGAAAAAGCTGTATGGTTTGTATCAATGTTAAACTTCCTGCTTTTGCTATTGTACCATGGTTATGAAAGATGTTAGCACTGGGGGGGCTGGGTGAGGGGTAAGCAGGACCTTTGTGTACATTTTTTTGCAACTTCCTGAGAACCTACAATTATTTTAAAATAAAATGTTTAAAATATATCAACATGTCAACTATGTCAACTTTTTTTTTTTTTTAGAGACAGGGTCTTGCTCTGTCACCCAGGATTGGAGTACAGTGGCGCAATCATGGCTCACTGCAGCCTTGAACTCCTAGGCTCAAGTGATCTTCCTGCCTCAGCCTCCTGGGTAGCTAGGACTACAGGCATGTGCCACCACACCCAGCTAGTTTTTTCTTATGTTTTAGAGACAAGGTATCATTATGTTGTCCAGGTTGGTCTCAAACTCCTGGCCTAAAGTGATCCTCCTGCCTCAGCCTCCCGAAGTGCTGGGGTTACAGGCATGAGCCACTACGCCTAGCCTAACATATTAATCTTTCTAAGTCTCTTCTAGTTAGTTGATCAGTCAATTAACAATACCAGTTGAGTATACCCATGACATGTGGCTTAGGTACAGAGAATTAAAAACGAAGAGAATGAAATCAAAATAACCCGTATCACTATAATGTGGCAGTCCCAGGAGTGGCAGAGCCTATAGTCCCAGTGGTGGCACCAGGGCAGACACACTAAAGGGATCAACATCTAGATGACTCTCTGGATCATCCATGACATCCATGACATCTGGATCACTCCGAATTCAGGGATTCATTTTTGGGACAGAGAAGCTGAAGAAATGAAACGAGGGGGCATTTATAAGGACGAGACAATGGGAGAGAAGCAGTGGAAGAGAAGGGGGACATGGAGGTCTGGGAACAGAGGTAGCTGGAGGTGCAGCAGCAAGCAGAGGGCAGAGCTGGGAGCTGGGGCCAGGTGGGCCTGGGCCTTCCTACCTGCACGAAGGCTCCCAGGATCTTCCGGGCTTCCTGGTAGAGCTTCTCCCCATCCCACTGAGGGTTGAGTCTCTTCAGTTCTCTGGCCAGCCGGTTGTGCTCGCGGAGAAAGAGGATGTGGGAAATGGCCAGCAGGGAGTGCTCTGAGGCTCGGGAATCTCCTGAAAGCCCAGAAGGCAGGAAGGTGGCTTCTCCCCGAGCTGGCCAGGCATGCGGGAACCCGCACAAAGAAATGATGGTACCCCGAGGGACCCTCTCCTAAGCCCCTCCTGCCAGTCAAATTAAGGGAAGTGAGGTGGAGAGGGATGGGGACTAGGGGAGGAATCACAGGGTTGAACTCAGTTCCATACACACACTTCTTAGCTGTGTGACCTTGGGCGAGTTACCTAATGTTTCTGATCTTCAGCCTCCTAGTCTATGAAAGTGGGGATCATAAGGCTTATCACAGGGAAATGTAGTAAAGGCTACTGGTGAGATATGAGGAAGGAAAATTTTGTTAACTATAATTCAACTGCCTTCTAAGAAGGGCAGGTGAAATAAATGAGGGGCTTTTTATTTTGCAGAGCAACTTTGAAAATTTTAGGAATGAGGTTGATGGTAGGAACCTGGGTAGGGCTGAATTCCTCTATGTGTAATAAAGGGAAAGGAATCTAGATGGGGACCTATGGGGGCATGGAAAGGGGGCAGTTAAATGGTGAAAGACCACATGTCCTCTAATCTTTAGGAAAGTCTACTAAATCCACAAATTCTTGGTGCATATTCTTATGAAAATAGGAAACAACTTGGCTGTGTGTCTGGATTGATGTGGGGTATGTGTAAACACAAAATCCAAAAGAACTAACAAGAGACCTTGGCCTCTGGGCCAGCTTTCTGCCATGTCAGGGTGGCCAGGGGGTTGTCCCGGGAGAGTAGAGTTTTGAAAGAGCAAAGGCCTCCAGAAGCCAGAGACAGAGGCCCAGGAGGATGTGAGCCCCTGGAAGGAACAGAATTAGGAGGGCTTTGGTCACACGAGTGTTGCCTTAGAAATATACGTTCCCTCACGCCTGTAATCCTAGCACTCTGGGAGGCCAAGGCAGGAGGGTGGCTTGAGGTCAGGAGTTCGAGACCAGCCTGAGCAAGAGTGAGACCCCCATCTCTACTAAAAATAGGAAGAAATTAGTTAAACAGCTACAAATAGAAAAAATTAGCCAAGCATGGTGGTAAGCGCCTGTAGTCCCAGCTATTCGGGAGGCTGAGGCAGAAGGATTGCTTGAGCCCAGGAGTTTGAGGTTGCTGTGAGCTAGGCTGATGCCACAGCACTCTAGCCCGGGCAACAGAGTGAGACTTTGTCTCAAAAACAAAAAACGTTCCTCTTAATCTAGAACTTCTTCTTCTAGGAAATTATCTTAATAAATGTATCCAAAATGAGAACAAAGATTCATCCATAAAGATAACCATTACCTAAACAATAACAATACAACACAGAAAAATAGAAATAACTAAATGCCCCCACACAGGGTTGAGAAAATAAAGTACGGTAACATATGTCAGGAAATACCAGGCAACCATTAAAAATCATGTTGTAGAAGAATAGTTAAGGGCATGGAGTATATTAAGTAAAGACATAAGGTTATAGAAGATTATTTATAGTAGGATCCCAATTATGTAAAACAATGTAAAACTATATGTGTGCTAGAAAAAATACTGGAATGAAAGTACTAAAAATTGTTAACGATGATTTTTGGTGGGTGGTGGGATTGTGTGAGTTTTCTTTTTATTTTTCTTTGAGCTTTTCTGGACTTCCTTATTTTGTTTTACAGTGAACACATGTTCTTAGATTCTCTATTCATCGGGGCCCTTCTGCCGGTCCTGGACCAGTGCCAGGGGCAGCAGGGGCGTGGTGTGCGTTTTTCCAGAAAGATGATGAGAAAAGAGCAGTGGCAAAGCCTCCCTGGATAACCCCCTTGTCCTTGGGCCCTTCTGCTCCCAGCCTAGACTCACCTGCCAGGAAGCAGGGCACCCGGGCCGTGGTGTTGATGAACTCGCAGGGGCTTGGTTTCTTGTTGGCAAAGGGCAGGTAGGGTAACCCATGGTCCGAGACCTCCTGGTTGACGGCCATGAGGCCCAGGGGGCTGCTGAGGTTGCGGAGGCGGCTGGCCAGGCTCGGCTCGGAGCCGTACACAAAGCCGGCATCCAGGAAGGAGGTCAGAGCGTTGATCTGTTCTCTGGCCAAGGATTGGTAAGGTGGAGTGGGACAGACGAACCCGGCTCGGAAGAAAGGCATGCACGTCCCTTGAGTCCTCACCTTGGGGTCATTGCGTGGGAACTGCAGAGAGATTGGGCATAAATGACCAGCTAGAAGCAGCATAGCTGGGCCCTGGCGACCTCTCCCCAGGGCAAATCTGGATGCAAAGATGCTGATGGCATCCTCTGGGACCCTGGGATCAGACACTGACCCTAGACACTTCCTGCTGACGTTGCACACCCTGGGCCTTTAATACCCTGAAGTTCACTATATCCTGCCTGGCACGGACTAGATGGCTAATGTCTATTTACTGAATAAAAGAGCAAAAGGCAATCATTCAGTCCTTTACAGGGAGGGCTCTGACTTTTCGGTGGGGTGGGAGTCCTGACATGCCTACACAGGAAAGCAGGACATGAGATGGGAAAGGGTTCGTTAATAATTACTACTAATAAAGCTACCTTTTTATTTATTTTTGGACCTACCATATGCCAGGTATTATGCATACTTTATCTCATTTCTGTCCTCAGAAAACCCCATAAAGTGGACAATTCAGTCCCATTTCACAGGTGAGGAAACTGAGCCTCAGAACAGTTAAGTAACTTGCCTAAGAACTTACAAACTGCTGGAAGGGAAAGATGTGGGATTCAGATCTAGATTGGCTTCATTCCACAGCTCATATTCTTCATGCCACAGCACACAGCCTTGATTTGTTGTTTAAGTGAATAAATTGCTCTCTAACTGTAAAACCCGTGAATAAGAAGAAAGGGTGCACCATTGCCAGGTCCTCTCTCTTCCTGCAGGAAATGCCCACAAATCCCTGCGGCTCATTCGGATTCATCCAAGTTTCAACTCCTTCTGGGAGCTGAAGCCATCCTTTTGAATGACTTACAGCAGTGTTTCAAAACCTTTACTGTGTGTAAGGTCAATCTCCCGGGAATCTTGGTAAAATGTATTAATAGAATGTATTTCCCAAGGTCCGGGGTGAGGCTTGAGGTTTTGCATGTCTAATAAGCCCTCAGGTGTTAGCACTGCTGCTGACCAAGGCTCCCCAGAGCTTTCTAGTTTTGCCATTAGTAGCTACTTGTCCATTGCCCACACTGGCCCTTTGTCCTTGAGAGCAGAAGCAGTGTCTTATTCACTGTTGTATCCCTGGTGCTTAGTGTACTGCCTGGCACGGATTAGATGGTTAATGTCTATTTACTGAATAGATGGATGTGTGGGCTTGAGAAGCTATGGAATCAGCATCCAAAATCTACCAAGAGATCATAGTTAAAGGGCTGGGAATGTCTCCCACATCAGGGTGGGTAAGGGACTTGTTAGGGACATCTGTCCGGCTGCAGGGCCTACCATGATGGGGAAACAGTTGCCTCCCTGGATACAGTACTCCTCACACTGGGCTTTGGAGTAGTCGCTACTCCCCAGCTCGGTGTCGGGGGCAAAGTCCAGGTCGTGGTCCACAATTTGCCCCCACTGCATGAAGAGCAGGGACCTATTCTTGTCCAAGACATCCTTCTCATTCAGGTAGCCGGCAATCTTGTTGGATACCTCCCGGGCCTATGGATGGAGGGAGAAGAGGTGGGTGGATTGGAGGAAAAAGTGCTTTGAGGATTCAGATTCAACTGGAGTTTATTAAGTGCCCACGATGTAACAGGTACACTCAATCCCCATGAGGAGCTTGTGAGGTGGGGGGCATTACCCCATCTTGTAAAGGACGACACTGAATCCTGGAGCGGTGATGTCAGTTCTCCAAGGTCCTGCAGCTACAAAAAGGCAGGGATGGGACTGAACCCAGGTCTGTATGACTTGATCACTTGCAAGCCCAGGGCCCTTTCCATTACGGGGAGGAAAAACAGAGACAGGCTGCCTCCGCGAAGTGAGCGCCACGGAGGTGCCAGGTGTCCGGGAATAGGAGAGGGGCTTTGGGTAGGGGCTGCCAGCTCCGATGAGGCCAACAGATAGGACCTCCAGGCAAACAACAGCTGATGCACTCCAGGGGCTGGGGCAGGGGTAAGCGCGAGCAGGATGGGGCAGCGAGGCCATCTGCCTGGGAGACCCCAGGGTATCTGGCCTTTGGCGGCTGGGACGTGCCCACCACGTGGCTGGGCTCCGGGCTCGGAGCTCTGCTGCCGTCTAGTGGCACTCCGGGGAACGTCGCCAGCGAGCAAGTCCAAATCGTCTCTGTCGGGACGCGGCCCCGCGGCGCCTCCCTCCGCCCTCCGCCTACATCTCGGCCTTTCCGCGTGCGTTTGCGGGGGGCCTCCCTTGCCCTCCGTTCCCGTCCTCGCCCGCACCCGGCCCGCCCTCACCAGCGGCAGAGGGAAGCCGTTCCGCGTCTTGCCCGGCGTCCACCCGAAGGGCAGGGAGAGCCCGTCCTCGTACTCCGCGGGCAGCCAGCGCGCCAGGGCCCTGTTGGCGGCGCCCAGCGCGGGCCTCCTCCTGCAACCGCGAGCCCGCCCTCAGCCTCGGCCGCGCGGCTCGGGCCTGCCGCCGCGCCCGGCCACGCCTGGCCCCGGGTCCCACTGCTCGGGACCCCACGGGGGACCCCGGAGCCTCTGGCCGAGGGAAAGGGGAGGCAGAGGATGTGCGTCAGATGGGGAGGGGGTTCTGAGCTGCGCCCACCCCCCCAGGGCGCGGGGCTCCTCTGCCCTGGGGAAAGGTGTCGCTTCCAGTTAGACACCGTGGGCTCGCTGGGCCGCTGGACACGCGTGGTCTTTAGAGGGAGTTGGGGGTGCAAGTCCGGGACGGTAGGGCTGCGGCGGTGGCAGTGGCAGTTCTGCCTGGATGCCCAGGGGAAAAGCAAGGCGTAGGGGTTGGGGTGCAGGTGGGCGGGGCGGGGCGGTTAGTGGGGGTCCGCCCCTCACGCCCACCCCTGCCAGAGCACCTGTTATTACAGTCTCCCGAAATGGTGCGGTAAGGGCTGCTCGTGTCGCATTGCACCGCCGCGGCAGGGGCATCGCAGCCCACCTCCCAAGACAGCGAGGTCAGGTCCAGGCTGGAGCCTGCAACAGAAGGGACCCCCAAGGGGCTGAGTTCCTTCTCCATTCAGAGGCATGTCCTTCTGCAAACACGGCAGGGCACGCGTTTCGCAGTGCATTCCATGTTCTAGGCAAGCATTTCTCAGGCGGTCTCTCACTTAATCTTGACAACTCATTAAGGTAAGATTCTTTTACTCCCATTTTACAGAGAAGAAACTGAGACCACAGGGCTCAAAAGATTTGCCCCAGGCCACACAGATAGTGAGTAATTGGGAATGTCCCCAGCATGGCTAGTAAGTCCTTGTCTGTCAGGCCGAGAGTCATTTGAATAGACAAATCTTTCTTTTAGAATGAAAATACCCTGGAGAGGTTAAGCGTATGTTAGTATGAGTTTGATAAGATTGCTTTCTTCTAAAGCTTTGCTGACACTTAAAGTATCAAGCAAGCAATAATATAGCTAGGAAGGATGTTGGGAAGGAACAGATAATTTTTTTTTTTAATACAGGGTCTTGCTGTGGTGTCCCCCTAGCTCAGAGCAACCTCAAACTCCTGGGCTCAGGTAATCCTCCTGCCTCAGCTTCCAGAGTAGCTGGGACTACAGGCATGTGCCACTGAGCCCAGGGACAGGTAATTTTATAGTGAGGGCCAGGGGGGTGGTGGGAGGAGTAACAGAGGAGGGTGGCCTTAGGCATCAGAAGGTTCTATGTAGGCACAGAATGGAGACAGCTGCCCCACGTTCTGAACACAGCCCGTCACCCATCCTGGTGTCTGCAGTGAAAGGGAGAAGAGGAAATGTGGCCGTGTGGGGCTTCTCTGTGGGGCAGGGAGGGCAGGAATCTGTGAAAGTTGGCAGGGGCTGGGGTTCAACCCTCAGCACCTTTTGAATTTCAGAATCCAAAGTGTTCCCTACTTCTCCCCACCTTGTCCCAGTTTTCTTCTTTTGGCACTTTGGAATTTGCCCAAGTCCTGGGCCAGGTATTCTACCTCCATTGCTGTTTTCCCAGGGAGGACCTGTAGCCTCTTCCTCCTGTCAGGACCAAACCCCTTCCTCATGACCCTCCATGAGCTGTGGCATTTGGCTGGGGGTAGGGTGGGTGTGGAGGAGGGCATGGCCAAGCCATCAGTTAAATTCATTGTTTCAGCAACAAGTTGCCCAGAACAAGATAGAAATCTCATCTCCTGTGACCTAATCCTTATAAATGCCCCCTGACATAGGTGGCTTAAATGTCCCCTGTATTAGAGGAAGTGGTGGCACTGTGGTTTGGGACAGGGAGCCCATGTTTATTGACTTTAGCACTTCCTCTGGGCAGAGGCTTTACAGATGGTATCGTACAAAGAGTACCAATGTCCCTTCACTTGGGGTTGGCAGTGTGACATTGCTAGGTCTCAGTTCCTGCCTCTGCTGTCCTCCAAGCCCCTCGTTGCTCTGCCAGTCACGGGAGAGCTGTGCGTGCCTCTCTGAGTAGATAGCTCCTGACAGGGAGCGCGGCTGCTGGTGGCCTCTGCTCTCCTGTAGGGAGGTGGCCCCTTCCTGCCATCAGTGGGCTAGTGGGTTTTCTGTACCTGTGACGTTGGTCAATGGCGCCTTCTGCCTCAGTTTCTTTAGGGACTCCTCCCACACCTGCCCGTTGCGGATGGCTGTGCGCGTCCGGCCTTTGGCGTGCTTGAGGTACTCTGACAGCTGCCGGCTGGTGGGCGTCTCAGAGCTCATGGTGGCCTTCAGCCTGTGGAGGAGAGCGGTGGGGATCACGGCCCGGCGCTTAGGAGGGGCTGGGGGCCCAGCGGAGGGGCGGGAGGGTGGTGTGTGTACGGGGGACGTGGGAAGCACACAGGACACAGACACTTCTGTGCTCCCAGGACCTTTTCTTCATTTCTCCACTAGCGCCCCTGGAAATGCTCCTCTGGGAGGAGGAGGCTACGGTGGCCACTGAGCGCTGTCAGGCCTGGTGCTGAGGGAAGGCAGGTGGACGGACATGAAAAGAGCAGTTCCTGGTTCCAGTCAGAGGGCTGCAGCTGGGCTGGATCTAAGGAGCCTCAAAAACACACACAGGCCCCGGGAGTGACTGATTCAGACTTGAGGAACCCCTGGCATGTAGCTGGCATGTCATCAGGCCCCATGGAGGAGAATTCTAGGGATACGATATGTGTGGGCCTCCAGTCTGCCCATGACAACATCCTTCACTGCATCCGGCCCGAGAGCTAGCATGGAGTTTGTTCAGATGTGGCCCGAAGCACCCAGTCTATTCCTTCATTTCCTATGTGCACAATGAGAAAACAAAAACCCGTCTACTCAGAAGTTTGTGACAACACATAGATGACCAAGGGCAAGGTGGAAAGAAAAGTTTCTCCTTGAGATCCCTCTACCCCCTCGCTGTGCCTCAGTTTCTTTATGTGTGAGATGAAGGGGCTCTATGAGATGATCTCTGTGGCTCTAAGACTCAAAAATATTGGAAGTGGCTCAAATTCTAACAAAAGACAACCCTGATTTCTGGGTACAGTTCACTGGCTGTTGTGCCTGGCTTTTCGCTACGTACCAGGCCATTAACTCTAAAGCACTAGAGGACTACACGGGCATGCAGGGCAGGTGCAAGGAGTCACCAGGCCTACTGCTTTCCAACGTCCCCTTCCTTCACTCCATTTCAACTTCTCTGAGAGCATGCCCCTAATAAGTCACCTGCACGTACATCCAAGTTCTCGGGTTCTGTTTCCAATGACCCTGATCTAAGTCAGTCAATGCTAGTAGGCTGAATGAAGAACTTTTACCTAGAGGCTTTCTGAGATTCTGGAATGCATGACCCAAGGAAATATTAGGCCATCTAGAAGAAAGTCCTTCCAGCATTAGGTTAGATGTCTACTTCCAGGTAACTTCCAGGCTGAGGGTGTTAGGAGTTGTGGGCTATTGTTCCTACATGCCACATACTTGGAGAGGGGTGGAAGGGCGAGTTTTACAATTGCTCTGGCTCACTGGCTTGTCAGGGCTGGCCTAGACGTGCTTGGCATTAACCTGAAACCTGTGAAAGGAAGTACACATGTGTGTGTGTGTGTGTCTCACGTACCTAGTTCGGGAATCCAGGAAGGCCTTGTTGACTTGGACCTTGGCCTGACTCACAGCATCTGAGATGGCAGCAGGTCTGGTGGTCTGTGCTTGGGGTGGGACAGGGGAGCAGGGAGCAGGGCATCAGACATCACTCCTTTGAGATGTCCTCTGCCTGGCTCCCTCTTTCTCAGCCTTCACTCCCACCCTTCAAATCTGAGCAGGCAGGAGATCAAGATTAGGAAACTCTCACAAGAGTCCTAAAGGGGCAGAAGCACAGAATGGGAAGAATACTCTGGAATCTTCAATTAGATGCTAGAATTGCTCTTCGAGATTCCACTGGGGCACCCAGGGGTGTGATGAAGGAGGAGTATGACCACTCAGGTTGGCTCGGGCTGCTGGGCTGTAGGGATTTTTCTGGTTCTTGGTGAGATGGTTGCACAGACCCTTAAGCAAGTCCATCAAAGAGTTAGTGATCACCAGGACCCTGAAGTAGGGAGGGAGATGGCACGAAGGTAGAGGTGGGACTCCTTGTTTTCACTTGTATTGGGATCTGGAATATGGCAGAGGGGAAGAAGGACCTATTCTCTGAACAAGGAGAATGTAGTAGGTTAAATAGCCTCCCAAAATTCACATCCACGTGGAACCTCAGACTATGACCTTGTTGGGAAATAGGGTCTCTGAAGACCCTATTAAAATGATGTCATACTGGATGAGGGTGGGCCCTAAACCCAATGATTGGTGGTTTTATAAGAAGAGCAGAGGATGTGCAGAGAAGAAGGCCAAGTGGAGACTGAGGCAGAGATTGGAGTGATGCAGCTACAAGCCAGGGGACACCAAGGGTGCCAGGAGCCACCAGAAGCTGGAAGAGACAGGAAGAATTCTCTTCTAGAGCCCTCAGGGAGATCACAGCCCTGCCAACACCTTGATCTTGGATGTCTAGCCTCCTGGACAGTGAGAAAATAAATTTCTGTAGTCTGAAGCCACCTGGTTTGTTGTGGCAGTCCCAGGAAACCAGTACAGGGAGACACTTACCTCTCGTGGCAGCTACTGCAGCCTGGAGCAGGATCAGCGAAGCCAGGAGGGCCGGGAGATGGAGAAGGCCCCTCCTCACTGACAGGAGACACAGGATCATGCTGCGAGCCTCTCTAGAGCCCCAGCGGGAGGGACGGAATCGAAGAAGGCAGAGAAAGCCCAAGGAGCACCAGGTGCCCTAACATTGGAACAGGGAAGAGGAAACCGCGCTTACTAATTAGGCGTCTACTGTATGCGCAGCCCACGCCAGGTACTTGGGGAGATGGAAGAACTCAGGCTTCTGGGTTTCAGTCCCTGAGTTGTCGTTCTGCGTTTGCTCCTACTTGCTCTGTAACCTTAGGCAGGTTACTTAACGTCTCTGGGCCCGTGGCTTGCTGAGGGTGGGGGTGGGACCAAGTGGTGTGGGGTGTCTGATTCTGCCCTGACAGCCTGTGATCCTGAGATCCTGTACCTGTCTTGTCACAGGTGTGAGAAATGCTGTTACCTGGCCTGGAACCAGAGTTCCCCTCCCTCCTTCCCCTCGGGGTGCATTGCCCCGGCAAGCCAGTCCCCTCTGGCCCAGAGTGCCATGGCAGACACTCACCTCCTCCCTTCAGAAACCAGGCAGAGGCCTCATCCTCCCGCAAAGAACCAATTTGATGGGAACACATGAAAGAAATTGGTGGCAAAGCTCAGAGCTCCCTTGAGAGCTCTTAGGTGAACCCCTTCCTTTCTCATGAGCTTTAGCTCTGAACCTGAGTCATCAGACTAAACTTTGTGCAGCTGGGTTTTCTGATGAGGGGCTTCACTGGGCTTGGCGGAGTAGACCCAAAATATCTTTTGAGGAGATTCTGGCTCCAGCCTGGGGAAGCCCTCAGTGTGCGGATGGAATGACTGTGTGTTTAGACCATGGTCTTCCAGGATCCTAGGCTCTCACCGGAGGGCTCGGCGTTCACTGGTGGAACTCCAGAAACACACCAGGGAGAACAGCCTCACATCGGCTGCCCCTCCATGTCCACCAGAAGCTCCTGGGGAGAAATCGCAGTTCTGGAGCTTTGCCTGAGAGACCACCAGCCTGCCCTGCACACGCAGTCCAAATAATCTCCCCTGGGATGAGGCCAGACCAGAAGAGGAGCGCTGTGTGTCTGGAACAGTAATTCTGGCCTCCTTCACACCCCTCAATTCTTCCCTCTGCCTTTTTGTGGGCCCCGTAATAATTTTTATCTGGTAGAATATACTTTTTGTATTCTAACTCTAGAAAAAAGACAAGGTATGAATAAATACCTCTTTGGCCAAGATTCTCTCTGGTACTTCCCTCTTCCCCCAAGATGAGTTCTCAAACATCACAACCCCTCAGGAGGCTCCTGTTCTTCTATCCACGTGGCCCCAAGTAGGAAAAGATCATCTGTGACCTCCTTTCCCTCTATCACCCATTTTTGTGACTCCAGGAGACCCATTGCTGGGTCCATTGAGTTGACAGAAATCTGCCCATTTCAGACAAACAAAGGCACTGGTTGTGGAGTAACAGCTATCACTGACTTTTTTAAAATAAAACTTGTAGTAAAGAACATTTGGCATAAGATGTACCATCTTTACCCATTTTAACTATACAGAGTACAGAAATGTTAAGTGCAGTCACACTGTTGTACAACAGATCTCTAGAACTTCTTCATCTTGCAAAACTGAAACTCTACACCCATAGGACACCAACCCCCTGTTCCCCCTTCCCCAGCCCCTGGCCACCACCATCTTACTGATTTTTCAAAAGGCACACAGGTATTGGTTATATTATTCTTTAAATGAATAGTGTATTTCATAATAAATCATAAACAAAAAGTGAAAGATTATCTATGGAAAAAGGGCGTCATCTGAGACAAACTGAAGAAGAAAATAAGCCAAAGGCATGAAAGGTGAGAAATCTGAACAGGAAACAATGCTTAGATGCTCGTTTCTCCTCTTCTGTTCTTTGGGATCGCTTCACACTGGCCTCGCTGAAAAGACTGGGGGAGCAGGGACTTCGAGGCCAGAACTAAATTATTTTCCATGTCTTGGGCAATGCTCCTGGTCAGTGTAGGGGTAGGGGATGTTGGATGGAAAGCAGAGCCAGGTACATCCTGGGTCGTGTCACTGAAAAGGGTGTGTGCGAAAAGCTCCTGGAGGGACACTGTCTGGAGCCAGAACCAAGCAGGGCAAAGGGCAGAGGACATGGGGCTTTAGAGTGTAAGAGGCCAACAAGAGGCGTCTGTGACGTTTGGATGTTTATCCACATTCTTATCATCATGACCAGTGCAGAAACCATTTCCCAAGCCCTTTGGTTTGCAGCAAAGCCTGGAGCCTTCCCTGGGACATGGAGCACTATCTGCAGACAGAGCCACAGCCTCTGCCCCTCAAATGCCAGGCTGGTCTACAATCCCATGCCTCTACTCATGCTTTTCCCTATACAATGCCCTCTTGGCCTGATAAACTTCTCTTCATCCTTCAAAACCCAGGCCAAATGCCACCTCCTCTGTGAAGTTTACCAGATTTCTCCAGGCAAAGTTAGGCCATTCCTTTTTTCTGTTCTCCCATAGTATTTTACTCATATCTCATACTACTGACTTCATGTCTGTTTCCCCTATGAGACCATGAGCTCCTCAAAGGCTATGTCTTATTTATTTCTGTTTTCCCAGTGCCTAAGCAAATATTGGGACATCATAGGTGTTGGGTACATGCTGAATGAATGAAACTCCTAGAGCAGAGAAGTTCAGCATCTGGAGGTTGCAGAGGGAGAGGGTAGGGACGGCCTCTTAGCTGGTTTCTCACACTTTAATGTGCCCACCAACTAGGGATTTTGGTAAATGCAGATCCTCACTCAGAAGATCATGGAAGGGGCCTGGGAGTCCGCACTTCCAATAAGCTCTGGGTGATGCCTATGCTGCGGGCCTGCAGGCCACGCTCTGAGTACCGAGGCCTTCAGAGTTTGGCTCTCAGACTTGCTGAGCAGTCACCAAAGAGACTGGAAGAAGGCCCGAGAAGGGAAGAAATCAGGCGGGTTCTTTTCCACAGCTGGCAAGAGCTGTGTTGAGGGTGGCGGGATGAGCCAATAGGAGAGCCAACAAACACCCCATCACCCACAAAGACACTCTATTTGACCTTTTTGAGCAGCTCCAGGATCAGGAGTAGAATGAAGAAGAGATTCTTATTAAGCCCTCTACAGCGGAGACAATCTCCTATATTCCACCTCAGCCAAAGAACTTGGGGCACCTGATCACATGAAAACCAAATATGATTCAAATATTCCGTTCTCCCCAAATGAAGCCCATCTAGTACTGCTGCAGTTCACACACTGATTGACAGCCAAGTGTCTCCATTGCATTTCAGACATCTGGGACTAGACATTCAGGGTGAACTGGATATTCAGATCTGCTGCAAATAGCAGGCATGAGATGCAGATCTGAGAGCACTTGCTTAGGGATACCTTAAAACACTGCAAAATCTCCACTATAGTGGGGAAGTCATATTATATCACACCAGCCTCAAGAACAGCACACGGAGCACCATTCTGTTACTATCTTTCCCCAGATTCCTGTGTGACCCTGGACACATGATATCTCTTAGGCCTCGGATCCAATACAAGTTGGATAAGAGAAGTGTATGGTACCTTCCAGCCCCAGGAGTTTATGATTCTGTGACTTAGTTTTCAGGAGCAGAAAAGCCTTCTTGCCCCACAGTGGATTTAATCATATTCTCTCTTACACCAAACATGCCATGTTGGTAGCCAAAGCTGACACTGGAAAATGCCTGATATAAACAAGTCCAGATCCAGTACTAAGCTTTCTGAGAGGACTTTAGGAAATTTCATCATGAACTTTGCAGAAATCAGGAAAGATGAAGGTTAATGAGTCTTACCTGCCAAGTAAGTGCCTTGGCCTCCTCTGGCAGCCAGGGAGTTGCTCTGCTAAGAGGAGCTGGTCTTTTATACCTTCTAGCAAGAATTTATTTCTGGGAAAGGCCCAGAAGGAAAGATTTTGAGGGGCTGATGTGGCTTGGGGGAGGAGCTCAGGTTTAGCAGGAAACACCCTGTGACTCCAGGTAGATGCACGAGGAAACTGCAGGCTGGCAGGGGTTGGTGGATGCAAGATCACTGACTCTGGGTGAAGCAACCCCTTTTCCATTTTCTGGCTTAAATACATGGTCCTGATCTAGTCGTGAGAGGCCAAACTCCAAGTACGAGCACACTTGTCCCTCTCAAGCCTCTGATGGTATCTTAATAGCTCTTAAAATTAGGAACAATGAAATGATCCTCCTCCCCATTCATTTGTTCACTGCCCTTTGCTCCCTCCCTTACCTTTGCCCCAATTTATTGCAGAATCCAATGGTTCCATCTTTTGGATTTAAAGGGATTAAAAAACATTATATTTGGGGGGAGGTCAGCATTTCAAAATACTTCCCCCATTTTTTTGCTATCAGGATTGTGGGTGGCAGTCCCTGCCTCTGTCACTGTATGGCTCTAAGCGAGTAACTTCGCCTTCAGGTGCCTCAATTTTTCTAATAGTGAAATCACTGGTTGGTTTTGATAATTCTTATGATTCTATGACTTCATGCCTTATATAGGGTGGCCCATTAAAAACACCAGTATCTTGTAAATTATTGATCTAAAGCCCAAGCATAATATTACATACTTTTCCTACCTCGATGACTTTGACAGTTCAAGCTCATTAGATCCATACAAGAAGGAAACAGGAAGATTCAGAGAAAATAAAATGTCATGAAAGTGTATTTTACAGACAGAAAATTTAAAGCAAAACCTCCTTATGAAATTATACTTCGAGTTGAAAATACTCTGGGAGGATGTCAGAAATTCATCAACCAAACACCAGACCCCTTGGTTTACCTTCAAAAAAGTGATATCCCCTTTCTCCAGCCGATGGAGTGGATCTACAAACTGCTTCCCTCTGTGATAAATCCAGGCAAATGAGCTGGGCATCTCACAAGAAGGCAGCTGTCCAAGAAAGGTGAGTGAGACTTCAGGCCCTTCTTGTTTTCTTTGAAATACATTTCAGCTCCTTAGCTAAGCATTGTTTTCTTTGTCTGATCATTCCCTGAACTTTGGAGCATGCGTCTCCAGGTTGTTGCCTCCGGGTTTCATGCTTTACGGATTCAGGAAGCTGCGTCTTTAGATGGATCTTGACCTAGTTGGTTCTGAATGATTTCAAGATGGAGCTTCCTTCTAGAAGAGCCTATGGGATAACTTTGCTTCCTATGCAATATATATACAGTGAGCTACTAGAGTCAGGGTAACAGCAAAATGCAGATCTGATCATCCCTGGGTCATCGTCATGTTATGACATGATATGATATGTCCTAGATTTTACCTTTCTGTGGGAAGGAATGGGACAGTGGCAGCTCCAGCCCAGTAAGGTTGTTTCTTGATCTTGGCATGAAACACACCTGGAGGCAGTCACAGTGTTATGCTTACAGTCCTATAGCTAATTGGTATTTTAGAGCTGACGTGTGATGACATGTTTTCATGGGCTTATCTCAGACTGGCTAAATCTGTTTAGCACAGATCTCCCATTAGGGAATGGCACACTGGCCTGAGAAATGGACAGTGGAAGACAGACAGTCCAGGAGAAAGCTAAATAGGCCAACAGCTTCTCATATGTCGGCACAGGCTCTGCGATATCTTGCCAACAGTGGCAGCAGGGAGTACCCTATGAAGATAAGGTCCATATTGTCACATGGCAGTAAACACACACACACACACACACACACACACACACACACACCCTTTCCAGGAACCCACAGTTTATAAACAAGGCTGATCTCAGACACAGTTGGCTCACTCCATCACCTTCTAGAATTAGAATGCTACATGTTGCACTTACCACCTTTGGCTGATCAAAAGTACACTCATGGTTGGTGACAAAGTGACCTTTCTGTTTGTATAAGGCAATTATAGCTCTCACACTGGGCCCTGGCCTTCAACTGTCCCCATGGTACCAGGTGCCATCTCCCATAGAAGCCCAGCAAGCCCCTTCCTTAACTGTCTGTTTTCACCCTTGCCTACTGGTTTGGCTGTCATTCATAGCTAGCCAGGTTATTTGTTTTTTCTCTTCTGGCTATAATGCATTTCCTCTTGCTAATTTCTGAGAATACCAAACAAATAGACTTCTTGTCTCCAGAATGGCTCTGTATGCCAATGTTTACCACTTTGGGACTCATCCACTAGTTCTACCCAGGGAAGGGAAGAACCCAGGTGCCCTGGCCTCTGGAGTAGTGTGCAAGTGACAAAGCTGCTCTGAATGGCGTCGCAGGGCAGGACAGGCCCTTGGGGTGGGGGATGGGGACATCACCAGGCAAGCCCCTTTAGAGTGAGGATGGGGTCTGTGGATGAGAAAAATAAATGTCTGGGATGGGTTGTGTGTCTCCCTCAGCAGACAGGAAGAGGCTCTGTTGTTTTCTCCAAGTATTTTTTAGTGGGAGAATTGATCTGATGTTTGGTGGCTTCTGAGATTGGCATAACATAAAGGTTCTGAGTGGCAAACCTAGTATCAGTGAATTTCCAATTAGCCACAGCATGTTGGGACTGAAAGGCCTCCCTGGGAA